GTATATATATGGGCATAATTAATATTCATTCTTTGCTTAACAACATATCTTACTAAACTCGACACACCCGTTGCATCCTCAAAAATATGATTAGAATTTAGGCCGATAAATTAAGTGGTCTACGTGTTATTAGACCTATACTGTAAGTCGTTTATTATTATTGAACAGTTTTCGTAATTTTATTCTATATTTAGATTAAACACGTGCTACGCAGTTTTACTGTTTTTGTTTGCTGATGTGGTATTTTTTTTGTCAACACGATTAAAGCGTTAATTATTACTATTTTTGGTCCCGTCACAAAGGAAATGCCTTTGTTAAATTAAACTCTCGTCGTATACTGTAATCAGGAAACTAGTAATATGCGAAATCAATTTCCCTTAATAGCCTAAATTCCTGGGGAGTAACAGGTTGACCCTTGAAATTTGTTTTATACCATAAATATAACGTTTGTTTACTAATGCGATTAATTGACGTCGCGAGCCCGTGCGATTAAAAAGGATGTTTGGCACAAATATCCGGTGTTATCGTTAGCAGGCGTTAGTACTTGCACCTCTTCTTCAGCTTTATTGCAATGCCTATCAAATGGTAGGCGATCGCACGGAATGAAGCAGGCCTAAAAATCATTCTCCAATTTTTCCGTATATAAATACATGGCATTGTGATGCTCTCAAGATTTTTCGTCTAAAATAATTTCTATGAAAAACCAAACAATGCTTGAAAATGTTCAAGGGCAGATGAATTTACATTGTCGCTCCCAATTTATATCCATGCGTTGCATTGTAACGTTTTATATTAAGTAGGCCTACAGCAAACCTCCAACTTGTTGCTTATTCGTTTTTTAGACCGCCTGTAAGAGATTCTGCAATAACAGCAAAAGGTGTTTGGATTCGCATCTCAATGATTTATGTTCTACACGTGGCCGACATTAGAACAAATTGTAAACATTATGCATGGCTGTGTGTTTCTCTGGCACATTGCCACCAGATTGGTCCAGACAACTTATTGACATTTTGGACAGATTTTACGACACCCAGGTTTCCATATAAAAACAGTTTTAAAGTTTTTGGAGAGAAAAGGCATTATAACATGGCGTTAATTACTTAATAGGCCTCTTTGGAATAGGTTGGTTTCGTATGATCATGAAAATATTACAAGGGTAAGAAACACAAATATTCAAACGCTTAGGAAGTCTATGAGGCTCAATAGTCAAGTTGTTTTAAGAGCTTAAGAAAAACTATTATAGGCCTAGTGTCAGGATTTGGACCTAGGTCCACGGGTTTGGGAGACCTATTGTAGGTGTAGCCTACAGTAAAACCCGTGCATCAAAACTGTCACGGGCCTTTGTGTATCCAATCACTTCTGTTCTATTAGCAAGCCAACTTTTGAACTATATTATTAGGTGTGTTGTTTAAAATGAAATTAGTTGAATACTAGTGTACACATGCAGGTGTCTCTGATGGAGTCCTTGTTTAGTCCAGTTGAAGGTCGTACCTGACATGTACAAACTTCAACATGGAATTCTCATTTACAACCGGACTTAGTATTCTTTGGTTTCAAACAATACACTTCCCTGAATATTTTTTATGAGATTACCAATTAAGAGATATCATGGTCGTGTGTCCTTTTCATTTTCTTCACTGCTTTCTTCCCGTAGGACAATACAAGATAGGCATAGGCCTATATTGCCACCACATAATCTAAAAGCAGTTCTAAAATGGATCAATCGAATTTCAAAACAACAGACCAATCACAACGGCCACGAATAAGTGATGGTCGCACAAACGCACGTGTTGTTTCACAAAATGATCGTCAGGCCTTAGCAGCAATATCAAAGAAGCGGGCTTAGCAGAAAGGTCGATTAAACACTGATTTATATTATATAAAAAACTTCTGTAGCTTATTTAATAGATTGAGAAACTAATAAGTCATATACCAACCAAAGTAGGCCTAAATAAATATAACTGCCATAGGACTATTTTTGTTTAAATTTAATTTGTACTCGATGGTGATTGAGGCCGATTTCTTGACAAAGGGTCTCTAGAGTCTCAATCCCATACATTTCCCATACAATCCCATACAATTCGACTAAGCATCAACATTTTCCAAAATGTAAAATGACTAACACAAATTAAAAATTCCCAATTTAATCATTCGTTTTCTGAGATTGAAGCTAGGTTTCCGCGCTTTGTCTTCAACAGTGACGGAAGCATTAGCCTATTTATGATTTTTTTTACCGACTTAAATTTGTTTACATTACACCAATTCCTCTTCCTCTTATTGGTTCTATGAAAGGGTCGCAAACGGGTGTCTTTATAGCACCAGAATACAGCTTTCGTTAACTCTTCCTGTATGTCCTCTTCAATAAGACAGGTTAATAATATGCATTGACCTATTTGTAAATGTTCACGATGATAAGGCAATACAATAGTATAAATAAAACGCTTAATATTTTTTGGAAGAATTGGATTAGGCTATCTGTTCGTATCTGTTATGAATTCATAGTGAAAATTGTATGTGACATTCGATTAATTTTATTCATTGATTGTATTTTTTAAGTTCAATTTAATCATTAAATTCATTACTTCCGTTTGTATAGAGGCATTACAATATTGTCATGTCCCTTTATTGTTGATATTAAATCACAGGATGAAGCTGTAATGGACATGCATTGTTTATCTTTACTCCTACGCTTTTCGAATTGTGTGTAGATTCTAAACTTTTCTTTAAAATTTGTACTCCTCATGTGTTTTACTTTGTTAACGTAAATTATATAGCTAGTATTTTTTTATTGTTTAATTTTTTTTTTTCACTTATTTGGATTTAATTTTTACCCTTACAGTCTGCTGCCAAAAGGGCGGGAACATCTTGCGCTAACTGCCAAGCTACCACTACAACTCTGTGGAGGAGGAACCCGAATGGAGATCCTGTATGTAATGCCTGTGGTCTTTACTACAAACTTCATGGGGTGAGTTCAATATCCTATAAATATTCTAAAAATAGTCTTCATTTGTTAGAAAACGAAGTGGTCAATAGGCCAACATTACATAGACTATTGTTCGACCTATTGGTTCCTAGTTAATTTTGGTACTTGATAAAATACATTATTTTTATCCATAAATAGTAGCCTATGGGTCTATATATATATTTTTTAAATTTAAAATGTCGTACACAAATGAATGAATGAATGAATCAATCAATTAATCAATCAATTAGTCAACCAATCATTTTATTAATCAACGAAACAATAAAATCAATCACTTTTTATAGCTTTATACTTTTTTAACTATTAGGCCAATAACTGGTGTAAAAACGCATCATTGCAATGAACAAATATAGGCCTATATTTCAGATCGAGCTTTTCATTGAAACTCGTACCGTAGCTAGTTTAATACCGTACTCAAAATTACAGAGTAGACTTATAGTAAATTACACCTAGGGCATGGAGGAGACCATTTTTTCATAATCCAAGTTCACCTTGGTTCTACCATTGGAAATAAACCGTATCAAATCACCTGCCTGCGGCTAGGCAGACGGATTACCTACCTGTTGTACACACAAAGGCGCCAAAGTAAATAGTTCATTTGGGAAACACCAATAGCATTCAAATAGTAGTTAAATGGATTAAGGTGTTGCACAGTTAACTCTATAATTCCGTAGGACATAAGTGTAATCGTTCACCAGCAATGTCGGTGATATCAAAGGTGCACCTAACGTCCACATCCTCTTATTGTTGCTTATTAACTTTCGATTATTACTTTGAGTGTATGTCTTCCACGAATGAAAGGAGGTCTATTAGTAAATTCAGATTCCAAAGACGAGTTTGTCTGCCAGTGTAAACATAAATTAACTATCAGGCCTGGCATTAAGGTATTGACAATACAAATGTTGCGAAGGCTCAATGCAATATAAGATTGTTATTGTATCATTGCAAATGATAAAATTATATAAACCTTATTGTTTGTGAATGATTCAATCTTAGCCAACAGAACTATAAATATCCAACACGAATGCCAGATTTGGTAGGTCCAGGGAGTTGTTATAGCTGGTAGGTCTAATGATTGATCCTGATTTAATTACGTCATACGGATTCTTTGGTGTCCGATTTTGACTATGATGTCATACTGTATTTACAATGATGTAATAGGCCTGTATCAATGGTGATGTCATAGCTATGTATAATTATAACATCAATGTTATGCTAATAGCTTTATATGGTGATGGTATGACCAAAGATAATTGATGGTATCGGCAAGAAAATACTGATGAAAACAGCGGAAAAAGAGTTAAACCAGAATGCATAGGATCTGATGGTGGCCTTGACAAAGCTATTAGTTTTATTGATAAAACGATAAGATAGGCCTACTGCATATGTATGTTATGAATTTTAAGACCTAATTCGTACGTAATTTGATTGCATATTGGGAAAAATGTGCTGTAGGGACTATATAATTATTATTCTACTTTTTTATTGATAGACTATAGATAGACCTACGTTGAACTTCTGCGATGTGTTTCTTCCTTATTTACCGAATGATTTATTGTTTATATAACGGAGCCAAGATAGCTCTCATCTTATCAATCATCCACGTATCTTTGCATAATTTCTAACCTTTTAAAAACAAGTAATTAGACCACATTTGGCCACTGGTGCCCAAAATAACGAACACATTGCCACGGTCGGATATCCCATACGCGAGCAAATCACGTCACACTTGGTCACACTATCGTTTCTGTCTTAACTCTCTCGAATTATCCATAGCAGTGTTCCTTCTTTGAATATCTCTAATATAATTTATCCGTCTAACTTTTCTACAGCGATGACGTCAATGCCTAGGCCTGCCTCTTGTACATGCGCGTCGTGCCAGGAAATATTTCAGTCCGCGTTCTCTTATCTCTGCGTATCAAACTTCCCCTTCGAATTATCGCTCTCCTTGCTTATAGTTTCTGTTTCCTGTTGTGGTCCTAATTCATGTAAATGAGCATTGCCCAAGTGAACCAATGACGGGCGCGTATTTCCAACGAAAAGTCCACGCGACTTCAATTAACTTGATGAACTTCTTGCGATAATTCCAACCAAGATAAGACTCGAATCGAGATGAACATTTTCATTTCAACCTATCTGGCCCAATGGGAAATTGTCACAGACGATAAAGAGGCACACCAAAGGAAAGCTTGTCACATTAAAAAAAAAACCCCGTATTTCTATTATCCGATGTTTTTGTGTCTATGTATCCATGACAGCACTATCTCCGTGGTATCTAGGCCTACTAGTATAGGTCTAATACAAATGTTGGATATTTTGCCAGTTATTAATATACGGTTCACTCACTCTACGCTCATTCGACCCTTGTATAATTTTATTAATGTTCCTTAAAATGTATACAACTATGCCTACACCAAACAATGTTCGGTATACTGTATGGCGCGAAGTTGCTTTTACAAAATAATACGTGAGCAACGCATCACTTGAATAATCACTATGAATAATACATTTAAAGCTACAAAAAGAACGATCAACAAGTGTTTTCCGTCGCTTTGCACTGCTACTGTTTTATACGATAATCGCCTAATAAAGTAGAGAGTAATCCCACGGGTGTTCAGGCTAAATTGATATTGGCATAGGCCTATTCTGTTTCCAGCATACATTTCTCTTCTGTTTTTTTACTGGCGTATATGAATTCAGTTTTACTACTTCGCCTTACGATTTTTTTTGGTTTAAAACTGAGAAAAAGGGGGAGATTTGTTTGCATTAGTTTGTTCAGGTTTATATCTATAAGCATGCAGTAGGTCGGTTAATTGGAAAATATTAAAATCCCTTAGAGAAAACTGAATTTCACAAGCAACATTAAGCGTTATTAATTACCCTGCGATGGCTGTGAAATCTTGAACTGGGATAGGCCTAAGTAAAAGTTATTGAATATAAATATTTTAGATTTACTTCTTTCACATGGCTGTTTGAAATTTACACGGGTATCTTAAGCCTTGCCTTGGTTAATATGAACGGCCTCTAAACCTCTGCAAATGAAATTAGTTCAATTAGTTTCTTCAGCGAGCACTTCCCCACTGCGGGCTGTATTCTAGGCCTACTTAATCTCAACTCAAGAATATAACTTCCAAAAAAAAAAAAAAAAAAAAAATGTCTGATTTCTTGTCTGATCTAATTTGCGAGGTAA